TTTTTTTTTTTTTGTAACTGGGGTCTGGTACTTGTGGATCAGTTCAATTTGAATGCTTTCAACTCCTTGTGGAGCATACAAATAAAACTTTAGCTCAGATTTTTATCATCCACATTAACTGGACAGCTATACCAAGACAGGACCTTTTCTGGTACCTACACCTGAACGTTTATTTATTAATACATTGTCATCTGTTTCAGTGCACAATAGAAGGCCACCTTGATGAGAGCCAGCAGGTTCTCTTCCTTCACCTGCTGTCTGGGTATGACACATACATATTGGCTGATATGTGTGAGAAGGCCAGCGATACACTCAACACAAAGGTAACAAGGTTTAGTAGCAGTGACAGTGGCAGCTGCAGTAGCAGTAGCAGCAAAGTTTAGTTGCAGTAGTAGTAACAGTAGCAGTATTACGTGATGTGTATATTCATATGGCTTGCTTAGTCTTCTTGAGGCAACACCATTATATTATAATTATTACATATTTATGAATGTTATTAAATAAAACATCTGCAATCAAAAGAGTGGCAGACGTGAAAAGGCCAGTGATCAATATATACCTGTTACACTAAACACAAGTTTCAAACTGTGCTAGATATTTTCTCATAGTTGGCCTCTGTCCCTAAAAATGAAAAAAAAACTGCCAATTAATTTTGATTCGGTGAACTAGAGAGATGTTTTCTCTTGCTTGTTACGATCTGAGAGGTGGAATCAAGCCTTTCATAAGTGTGACACAATTAGGCACCAGTAAACAGTATGTAGGGTTGTTCACTATGTTTGTGTTGCTTAAAGTATTGTCATCTATATTTCTTATATGTTTTTTTGTATTTTATCCTTTTTTGTCAATAACTGACTGTTTATTTCAGGGATATAACACATTTTGGCAACAAGAGGACCACCAACATGCCAGAGCTCTACTGTTTTTATTCTCTGTTTCACACATTATAATGGTAGGTTCTATTGGACACTTTTCATTATGATTTCATTATGATTATGTTTGAAGATTAAAGAGTATCATAGTGAGAACTGATTTATAATCCTTGGCTGGTTCACAATTAAGATACATTACCATTAAGGCCACATTCAGAACAGAGATTTAATTACTGAGATTTAATTACTGTGCCCCTGCAAGGACGACACGTGGGGAGGCATGAAAGAGGCAGAGAGACCATTACAGGATTAAGCAGTCTTTCTTTCATGTAGGTCTGCCATATTTAGGCTGTGGACCAGCTAGCACTTGGCTCTTCTCATTCTGAATGGTCCCAAATATGGCTCACCCCACTTAAAAGTAATGCCACTAATCCCCTAATGGTCTAACTGCCTACAACATGCGCCAGGCTTACAGGGGCCTAGCTATTAAAAGGATTAAATGTTGACTCTGAGGTTTTATTACAAGGCTCTTCCAGGCCTGGTGCCTGTGGTGGGTGAGGAGACCATTAGGGATTAGCGGCCGCGCTTTGAAGTGGGGTCAGTCATATTTAATCCACAGACAAGTTAGTCCATGGATCATCTGTTCTGAATGCAGCCTTAGTAAATATTTTCCAGCTATATGATTGAATGAGGGTATTGGGTTCATTCGGGTCCGTTTCAAAAGCATACAATCTGCATTAGGTCCTTATACTGAAAAAAAATTGTTTTTCTTAGGAAATTTTAACACCTTTCCTTGAATGTCAAGGTAAACCTTTGCCAAAACCATGGAGAAGTAATTAATCTACAAATATTGGAATTTTAATTATCTAATTTTAGAATTATGCCAATAAATCACCGGTTTTCATGTCCATTTGGATAGTTTTAAATTTATTCCCTTATTTTGACATTTTCAGCTAGTGAATGCTGGTCAGTCATTTGATGTCAGCTATGTGAGGCTTTTTAGGACTCTAGACAGTATCAGGTAAGACAAAACATTAAAACAGTTAAATAAAATCATTAAGATGCAAAATTTTATGATAAATAATTTAAGAGTAAAAGCATACTTATGCACCATTGTGTTGCCCATGAATTTAATAACATGTACACTTACTGCTAACAAATTATCATGGATGATGAGAAATATGATGATTATATAACAAACTTGACACTAGCTTGTGTTTGTGTGTGTGTGTGTTTTGAGAGAGAGAGAGGGGGGAGGAGACACAGAGAGATGCATTTATCCTGTATTGATTTAATCTCACTAAAACTGACTACATTTCAGACAAAAGCTCCTCCCCTCTGTGACGGACATTTTGAAGGCATTTCCTGTCTCCAAGGACTGGATGATGTCAGGGAGGTTGTGCTCCCCTAGAGTCCTGTTTGTATTTGACAAATGCACCATAGCTGAGGAGAGGGTAGAGGACAGAAGCAGGGGACAGGTTTGTCTTGATTGTTGCTGCCATCTGGTGTGGTGTTCATGGTGATTGCTGCTGACACCTACAGTGTAGTCAATACAAAGTTAACTTTTTTCTTTTTTTTAGTTAAGGAGGTAGCCCATGTGATACTTGTTGGCTAAAATTTGGCAGTTAATGTCTTTTACAAACAAAGCAAAGAAAAATTTTTTGAGCCAAGGGTGAGAATGTATGTGAATTTAAGTGTGTTCTGATTGTGAAAAAGATTGTTTGTGAGTTTGTTTGGTAACTGTTTCAGGAGATAGCAAGTATCAAGAAACTTCAGCATGCAATTGAAGATCAAATCTACAGGGTGCTACGGAAATCTAGAGTGATCACGAATATCAGGTACATAACAGGGTGCTCTAAAAATTTACAGACATCTCAAGTGTTAGATTGCATTCCAAGGTGCATAGAGAATCCAGAATGTTTACAAGTGTTTATACTTCACTGTATGATTAAATTAAAAAATGAGGTTCACCTCAAGGAAGTGTTTAACCTTTGAAATCTTGCCATAGAGGTTTTAAATTGTTGATATACACTTAAAAACTGGATAAAAACTTTTGTACAGCAGATCTCTAGTAAATTAGACCCAGACTTTCTTTCTTCCTTTAAAACAGCCAATAAACATCTGATTTCTTAACCAGGAAAATGGAGAGGACAAAGCAGGGGTCGGGTTCATCTTGATTGCTACTGCCACCTGGGGTCAGTTTTATATTGACTGTAGGCGCCACCTAGAGTGTACTTAAGTTACTCAATGCTAAATATTTCCTTTTTTCTATCATTTCAGCAACAATTCTCTGTTTGCAGTGCCAGCCAATCAGGAGTTTGTTTTTGTTCAGACCCCCCATGGAGTAATGGACGATCCCGCTAGCTTTTATATGAATTTACTCAAGGACAACTGTACTGTCACTAGGGACTCTGGTAAATATATTGGTTTTGATTAATTATGCTGTTGCCTAAAATCTGAAAATTTAGATGAAACACAAATTAATTTTGCAAATATGTTTTACCTTAAACAGCAGTCAAGCCTTATAGTCAGTGAGTTACAACATTTGTTCACACTAGTCTGATGAAGGCATACATTCAGGTTGGCCATAAGCTAAGGGTAAGAAAGTAATTCGGCTTGTTTTGATAATTATCATATATGATCTTACTACCAAGTTAATGAACATTTTTGCTTAGAATTATAAACTTTTCTGGAGGCACAGACAGAATTTCTAATGTATTATTGAGCACTGCCTTATACCAAATTGAATTTCGTTACAACTCCAGAGAGCCCCAGGACCAGAAGTTACCAAATGTTAAGACGCTGTAACATGAACAACAACTCTTCTGCAGCTAACAACAGCAGTAGCACCAGTGCAGTGTCACATCGCAGCAGTAGCAGTGGCAGTCACAGTTTTAAGGAGTTCCTGACGCAGCATATAGAGCTGGCGCTAACCAAGGGGTTCAATGATAATGTGGGCAGAAACCCTGTGCCGGCGTTGTTTGAGGTATAGGTAGTGTGTGTGCATGTGTGTGTGTGTATGTGTGTGTGTGTGTGGCTGCACCTGTAGGTATATTTGTGTTTACGCATCTGTGCTTGTGTGTGTGCACTTGTCTGTGTTCGTGCTTGTGTGCATGTGTCCATGTCCATGCTTGTGCAAACTTTAAAGTGAGAGGATATTTGCTTGTGCACATGTATTTTTTTTTTTTTTGCTTGTTCATTCTTTCCTTTGAATGTTCTGAACTTAATCTATTTTTACTCACAACTATATAAGTATTTTTTTAGTTTCAAAGTATTTTTATAAGCCTATTGCTACTGAAACATTCTTATTGTTTTCTTTTGAGAAAATTCCAATTGTATGATGTGCACAACCATTCCTAACGAATAAAAAAATTAATGAAATATTTACATTACTAATATCGTTTATGTCATAATATATTTATACAATATGTGATAAAATAAACTACATGACTTTATTATCATAAAGTTATATACATTTTCCTCCAGCTCCCCACTATTAATATGTGGCTGAGGGTGGCGTCAAAGCTGTACGAGTTCTTCACCATTGATCAGAAAGACACAAAGGTCCGACCCCACTTTAACACGCTCAAGTCTCTCCTGGAGATAGACACCAGATTCTCTGATGGGTAAGGCCACGCCTCATTGGCAATTGGTTGGTTGGTTGGTTGGTTGATTGGTTGATCATTCACAGAGACACCAAGGTTCACCATCAATTAAACATCCTCAATTTTCTGCTGGAGTAAAACACTAGACACTCCCAGGAGATGGGTGGGGGAGGGGGATGCTTTTGTCCCTGTCTGGATGTAAAAGATTTCTGACCCTGTTGTGATGATTAATAATAATAATAATAATAATAATAATAATAATAATAATCAGTCTTTGGTGTGTGTGTGTGTGTGTGTGGAAGTAAAATTGTAGTTATTTGATGAAACTTGTATGATATAAAAGATATGTAAATGGTAGAATTATATTGTTTATAAGATATAATGTGAGGTATGAAATGTTCTTACAGTAGAGACATTTAATTCATCTTTTAGGCGCTGCAGTAAGGTGATACCAGTTGCTGAGACCACTTACCAAGAGGGATTGCCCAAACACTACACCAGAGCCGTTCACTTGGCAAAGGTAGAGTTAACATCATAGGGACCATTCCCATAACCCTCTAGCCCAAGTAGTACTAGCAAGAGCGATCTGTCTCGCTAAATTGCATCCAGTTTAAGTGTGCACGAAAGTTCAGTACCCCCCTAGCAGCTCCAATGGGGCGACAGACATTTAAGCCAGAATGCAATTTAGCAAGGAGTTAGATCGATCCTCTTAGTATGATAGGTTTATGGAAACCCAATCATACCGTAAGATAGAAAAAAATGTATGGGTTATAATATAATGTTATGGGTTCAATGATAACCATTGCGGTTATTTTTCCCTCATTAAAGAGATCAAGTCATTGACGTAACATTCTGATTAAGGGAATTTTGTTGAGTATTTTATATTTTTTTTCCTTTTTGCTATTGTAACAGTTTTACACTCTTTGTGCGCAGTTATATATATCTCAGATAAATTCCCCTCTTCCCACAGTTATCACAAGCCAAGCGGGTGTTCGCGCAACACGCACGTGGTCCAGCATTCGACAAGTACCTGCAGCAGCTGGAAGAAGAATGCGAGAAGATTTGGAAGAACGGTAGACAACTCTGCGAACATGTGAGCCTCACTGGAAGTCCATGCATCCATGAGGTAATGCTTTTTTTTGTTTGTTTGTTTGTTTTGTTTTTTTTGTTTGTTTGTTTTTGCACCAGTTTCCACCAAGAAAGATAAAAGTAATACTTAAGATTGAGGTGAAGTCTTAACTCCAAGACCAAAACTTTAATTGCATTTATTTATTTCAAATCTGAACATGAACTAGAGACTGATTCATTTCAGTAAGTAATGTTGTTGCAGTATGATACCCCTCAGCTGGTTCTCCTTAGTTGTGGCTGCACCATCTCTTGAGAAATGATCAGACAAAGGGAAGAACATTTTATGGTCAAACCTTAGTGTTATTAATTAATTAATTAATTGATTGATTGATTTTAGCTGCACTCCAGCAGTGGGGAAACCATTTTGCAAACATTTTTGACCTAAACTCAATATTATTAAAATATTCATTATAACAATGTTTTTTCTCTGTTCTAGCTTCACAGGCTCCCCAGCAGTGAGGAGACCCCAGAAAACAGCCACCTGCCAGTCAAGTCCCACTCTAGTCAAGTCAAGACCAGGGCTGCATGTAACTGCGGCCAGAAACAGGGTGACAGGGACGACCCTTTTGACCAGAAGGTACAGTGTGTATAGATAGGCACTGTTATACTGATATTGGGAAGCAAAAATTAAATCTGACAGAATTTGCCCAAGTTGACAGACATATACATATATATATTTATATTTGGGTTGGATGTTTTCCTTTAAGTTTTGTAGTATTACGACCCTTTGCACAGTACTATGTATTGGCCATGTGTGTCACTTATACTAATTATGTAATGTTTAGAAAGACTGCATTATGTATTATTATGAAATGTTTGGAGTATGTGGTGTTTGATTTTCATGTCTTGATTGCTTGTTGAATGTATTTGTGCGTCTTTACACCTACTTATTTTAAATCATGATGCATTTTACTTTTTGAACAGTCGGCAAACTACACTTTTTACCAAAACCTTGAGCGCCAGTGTTGTGAGAAGTTGCAGCACCATCATTTCCCAGCATACCATGCAGCACCACAAGAGGACGCCACTGCACAGGCTTCAGCAGAAGATGTGCCAAGACAAGACAATCCCAATCTTGAGCCAGTGATAGCAGCTTTGGGAAATCTCAGTCTGCCACATAGTTCTGGTAACGGTTTCTTGCAGTTCATCTGTATAAAAATTCACTTCCCAAATTTGACGAACAAAACTGCAAAATGTGTCCCCAGAAAAAGCTACCAGTAGTCACATCCCAAGGTCACTGTCTACCCCGAGTAATTTTTTCATTTTCTTATGATCCCTTTTTTTATGAGAGGGAAAAAGATGTTTTATAGTAAAATTTGTTCTGCATGTATTAATATGACATCAAGGTGTCATTTTTATGTCCATATCCACCATGATTTTTATATATATATTTTTTTCAGAGCAATCACTGGAGGTGGATGACCTCTTTCCGACTGGTGAGCGGCTTTCACAGCAGCCGTCTCAGCTGCAGCCGCCATTATTAGAGGGAAACTCCACGTCACAACAGGTGCCAGAAGATCCAGCTATAGTAGAGATAGGAACTGGTATGTATCTATTGTTGTTATTGTGACAGTCATTTTTTTTTCTTTTTGTCATAGATATTGCTGTTCAGTGTTATTTACAGTATGTATATTATCTTAATATAAGTTTTTGTGGAGGGTGACCATTTCATCATGTACAAATGTTATAGCTTGTAAAAGATGCAGATTGTTCCCTGTGCCTTTAAAGTTAAAAAGTGGAGAAAAAAGAGGATATTTTCCAGAAAGAACGGCCAGACAGTGGCCTGCATATTTTACTCAATCTCTAAACTGGTGAAAAGTAAAGCCCTTTTTCTTTTTTTAATTTCAGTTTCATCAGTGAAAACCTCAGACAGAGAGGGCCTGACAGAGAAGTTGAACGCAGACTTCCTGACTGGGATGCTGCACAGTTGCTCTCCCCCTGGGGTCCTTCCCAAATACCCGGCCTGGTCACTGGTGTGTCTGGCAACTTACAGCTCCTACTCACCTGTCACAGGTGAGAGAGAGAGAATTATGGGGCAGGGAGGGAGAGAGTGAGTGAGAGACACACACACACACACACACACACACACACACACACAGAATTTTGGTGCAGAGAGAGAGAGAGAGAGACACACAGAGAGAGAATTTTGGTGCAGAGAGAGAGAGAGACACACACACACACAGAGAATTTTGGTGCAGAGAGAGAGACACACACACACAAAGAGAATTTTGGTGCAGAGAGAGAGAGAGAGAGGGAGTGAGAGAGACACACACACACGCACACACAGAATTTTGGTGCAGAGAGAGAGAGAGAGACACACACAGAGAGGGAATTTTGGTGCAGAGAGAGAGACACACACACACACACACACACACACA